AATGAACCGCTTCTCTAGGCTCTGGCTCCGCAGGGTCATCCTGATTGAGACGGAATTTCAAACTGGAAACGATTTCAGAATGGTTCTCCTGCTGAATGTTCATGAGAACGATGGGTGACTGCATACCTGATCTGTCTGGAACAAGGAAGAAATCTGCAACCCATGTTGTGCCAGAAGTATGTTCTTTCTGCTTGAAGCTGAAAAACTTGGCTTGTAACAGAGGTTGATGACAAAGGGTGAGGGGTGGGCACATCGCGTTTGCTTTGGATGTCGTTCCATCCGGTGCCGGCATACAATGCGAACTTTGTGTACAAGACGACCTTGTAAGTGCCGAGCCACTTGTAAGAGGCGCGCCGAATGAAAGGCCCGGGCCAGACGTAAGGCTCATACCATGTGTAAGACCCATACCAGTTGTAAGCCCACTGCAGGCATGACTGCTCATGTTCATTGGGAACATCGACGGACAGAACAAAGCACCCAAATAAGGATATGCCCTAGGATCGTTGACTTCAAGTCGAATCGTCTGTCCGCTGAGCGTTACAACCACTCCAGGTTGTAACTGCTGTATGTTGCTCGGTGGCATCATCGGAGGCGCTTTCGGCAGTGGGGGTCGTTGATCCCCATGAGGAACTATACTAAGATCAATGTACGTTGCTTGGCGCGACAGATCGAACTCAGTGCTTTTCAGGCAAACAGGGTTGCCGAGTCAATGTAGTTGCAGCTAATGGTTATGATGAGGCTACAACACAGATGGGACCAAATGAAAGGATCATGAACAAGATCTTGATCTTGACTTTTGATCTTGACTGTTTGGTATTCACTGGTAATTGAATCAAAGGATCATGTGGTCTTGAATCATGTACCTTTTGAGAACTCCAGGCTGATCGAGAAGGCAGGACAGATCAGTGTGAGCACCTGCTTCTCATATGCATGTAAGGAGAATCAGTTTCACCAGGGCTACCCCCGGAGGACACGGCGCCCAGAGGGAAGGCCGTTGTGACACACTCAGAGAGGTGATCTGTCACGCCAATTCGTGAGCTGATCTTGCTGAGAGTAGTAAAATACTCTCCCAATGAGGCTCGCACCGACCACTACAATACACTTAAAGATCTCTGCACTGCAAGTGCGAGCGTTAAGATCACAACCAGTGTACAGCTGACAGGATGCACTGTGTCACAAGCATAGCAGGTACACATCAGGACGTCTCCTGATGCATCACCAGAGACTGCGGGCGTCTTCGTTGGCAGTGATCCCACAGACTCTGTCACTGCCCCCTGCATTCTAAGCACTCTCAGCGGGACATATATCCCATTTACCCGCGCTTGTTGAGATACTCTACGGGTGGCCGCTGCTCGTGGACACATTTATGTGGTGAACATACGCACTTGTTCACTACAGCATCTTCCGTCCCGTATGTTCGATTCTTACACTGGCCCTTGGATACAGGGTGTGTCACACACACACACATACACACACACACACACACACCCACACACCCACACCCACACCCACACCCACACCCACACCCACACCCACACCCACACCCACACCCACACCCACACCCACACCCACACCCACACCCACACCCACCCACGCACACACCCACACCCACCCACGCACACACCCACACCCACGCACACACCCACACCCACGCACACCACGCACCCACGCACCCACGCACACACACGCACACACACGCACACCCACGCACACCCACGCACACACACGCACACCCACGCACACCCACGCACACCCACGCACACCCACGCACACCCACGCACACACGCAAACACGCACACACGCACACACGCACACACGCACACACACACACACACACACACAGACACACAGACACACAGACACACAGACACACAGACACACAGACACACAGACACACAGACACACAGACACACAGACACACAGACACACAGACACACCGACACACCGACACACCGACACACCGACACACAGACACACAGACACACAGACACACAGACACACAGACACACAGACACACAGACACACAGACACACAGACACACAGACACACAGACACACAGACACACAGACACACAGACACCCAGACACACAGACACACAGACACACAGACACACAGACACACAGGAGACATCATGAGACATTCCGAACCTAGACCCCATCCAACAGACACACACAGACACCACACACTCCCAAACACAGACACCAGACACACAGACTCACAGCAACAGACCCGGAGAACCCAGAAGACCACGATACCGAAGCCACGCATAAGCCACACACCCAGCAGACCACGCGAGGACACACACCAGCAGACTCACACAGAGACACACCAGCACTACCAAGAGACCCGAGACACACAAGACACACAGAGCCCCGAATCACTCGTCGACCCTCTAGACACACATGTCAACTACATGGACACCAGAGCCCACCGAGACACACAGAGACACACAGAGCCACCAGATACACACTGAGACCCCCAGAGACACACAGCTGACACACAGACACACACAGAGACACACAGAGACACACAGAGACACACAGAGACACACAGACACACACAGACACACACAGACACACACAGAGACACACAGAGACACACCGAGACACACCGAGACACACAGAGACACACAGAGACACACAGAGACACACAGAGACACACAGAGACACACAGAGAAACACAGAGACACACACAGAGACACACACAGAGACGCCCTTAGATACCCAGAGATACACCAGAATACAGAGACACCACAGAGACCTCACAGAGACCACGTCAGCACACAGACACACACAGACACACGCACACACAGACACACAGACCCACAGACCACATACACAGCGACACAGAGACCACATCTCACTCCACCCCTGACCACACAGACACCAGCCCACACACCCACAGACACCACGACACAGACACACATCAGACCACACAGACACCACCACACACAACCACAGACACCAGACACAGACACACACCAGACACCCAGACACACTACCCCCTACACACATAGACACACAGAGACACACAGAGACACACAGAGACACATAGACACACACACACAGACACACACACACAGACACACACACACAGAGACACAGACACACACACAGAGACACAGAGACACAGACACACACACACAGACACACACACACACAGACACACACACACAGACACACACACACACACACACAGACACACACACACACACACACAGAAACACACACACACACACACACACACACACACACACACACACACACACACACACACACACACACACACACACACACACACACACACACACACACACACACACACACACACACACACACACACACACACACACACACACAGACACACACACACACACAGACACACTGATGGATTCGGCCAAGAGAGCAAGAAGAGGAGAGTATGTTGTATGTTGTTGTCTAATCTGGACACCACAGGGGGCCTGTCCTTGAGCTAATCTTGGCACCACAGGGGGCTGCCGAAAGTTGCGCAGGTATGCTTGTGGTGTGCATATGAAAAATTCGTCGTCGTTGTCCTCGTCCTCGTTGTCTTTCCACTCCTCATCCACCAGCTGGCACGACCGCCCCAGGTGCAATGAAGGTGGCAAAAGCAGGTACGTTTTCACAGGCTTTCCGGGAAGGTCTTCGTTGACCACCGCTCCCCGGAGGCCTCGGTGGTCCCCTGCAAACTTTCATGTGTTTAAGTGAAAATGTATTGCAAGAATGTGTCAGATCCAACGGAAAGGAGTGACCCTCTGCTCCCATGTGCTAGGGAGGTTCACACACACAGCCCCAGCTTGGGGCGGCTGTGTGCAGTGGAATAAAGCCGCGCCAGGGCTCCAAGATCTAAACGAACCCAAACTAAACCACAAAACCCTGTGGGCTGCAATGCCCGCTTGCAAAGCTTGTCGATGTAGTCCAGAATGTAGTAATGTTGTGGTAGTCCAAGATGTGGCGAGGCGTAAAATTTAGGGTTCAGGACTGTCCTTCAGCTGGGCACGCCAGCCCCCAGAAGCGACAGAGGGGAAGGAAGGCTGATCAGCTGCCCTTGCAAGGGCCCAGATCCAGCCGGGGACTGTTCCTCAGCTGGGCGCGACCCCAAAAGCAACAGTAATGAGGGTTAATGGAGAAAACTGCTACCCAGCTACCCTCGAAGGGGTCCAGGGCTAGCAGCTTCTGACCAATGTCTTGCACATGTGGTTGTATGTTGTAATTAGGGTGGTGAGAATAGGGTGAGGACACTCCTTCCAGCTGTCACCAAAGACCCAGGAACGGAGCGACTACTGCCCGGCTACCCGAGCAGGGTCCAAGGCCAGTAGCAGGATTAGGGTATTCCACCCTCCAGCTGTGTAGCAAAAGACACCCAAGAGCGGTGGACCATCCTCCAGCTGTGCAGAAAAGCACCCAGGAGCAATGGAACGAGAGGTACCACGTCCTGCGTGGTCCTCAACTTAAGGTGTGGGGTTAGGGGGAGAGAGAAGCGAGAGGCCGATTACTTCCCGGAGGAAGCGCCGCTTCACTTGCACTAGACGAAGGTTACCACACCTGCCCTCATGTCAGTTGCACATGCCCTTGCAGTCCCTGAGAAATAAAGAAGCGGTCGAATAGAGGACAGACTAGCGAGGTAGCACCTGCTCACTAGACGCACTTTACTGCATTAGCCGTCCATTACTGCACCTGCACTCATGTCAGACTCACATGCCGGCATCAGAGAGAGAGATAAAGTAGCATCGGGAGATTCTGAACAGTCTGAACGAAGGCTGAACACCCGGTTCATCACCGGTCTCCCCGGAGGGTCACCACGGCGCCATGACGGAAAGCGTTGCTCTGGAGTCTCAAGACCCACGCTGGTCACACTGATAGATTCGGCCAAGAGAGCAAGAAGAGGAGAGTATGTTGTATGTTGTTGTCTAATCTGGACACCACAGGGGGCCTGTCCTTGAGCTAATCTTGGCACCACAGGGGGCTGCCGAAAGTTGCGCAGGTATGCTTGTGGTGTGCATATGAAAAGTTCGTCGTCGTTGTCCTCGTCCTCGTTGTCTTTCCACTCCTCATCCACCAGCTGGCACGACCGCCCCAGGTGCAATGAAGGTGGCAAAAGCAGGTACGTTTTCACAGGCTTTCCGGGAAGGTCTTCGTTGACCACCGCTCCCCGGAGGCCTCGGTGGTCCCCTGCAAACTTTCATGTGTTTAAGTGAAAATGTATTGCAAGAATGTGTCAGATCCAACGGAAAGGAGTGACCCTCTGCTCCCATGTGCTAGGGAGGTTCACACACACACAGGACACAACACACCAGACACACACACCACAGACCACACACACACCACACAACCGACACCACACACAACAAAAGAGAACACAAGAGACAACACCACAAACACCGAGGCACACACACAGAGACAAAACACACAGAGGACAACACACACACACAGAGACACAACACAAGAGGAAAGCACCAGAGACAAAGGACACACACACAGAGACACACACACCAGGGAGACACAAGGACAAACACACAGAGACCACAGACAACACACAGGGGAGGGGACCACACACAGAGAGACACACACAGAGACACACACACAGAGACACACACAGAGACACACACACACAGAGACACACACACAGAGACACACACAGAGACAGACACAGAGACACACACAGAGACACACACAGAGACACCCACAGAGACACACACAGAGACACACACAGAGACACGCACAGAGACACGCACAGAGACACGCACAGAGACACGCACAGAGACACACACAGAGACACGCACAGAGACACACACAGAGACACACACAGAGACACACACAGAGACACACACAGAGACACACACAGAGACACACACACAGAGACACACACAGAGACACACACACAGAGACACACACACACAGACACACACAGAGACACACACAGAGACACACACAGAAGGACGACAGGACCACAGACACAGACAGAACACACACACAGAAACACCCACAAGACAAACACACAGGACCAAAACTACACACACCGGGACACCAAACACTAACACGCCAAACCAAACCACACACAACACACACACACACACACACAAAACACACACCACACACACACACACACACACAACACACACACACACACACAAACACACACACACACACACACACACACACACACACAAACACACACCCACACACACACACACACACACACACACACACACACACACACACACACACACACACACACACACACACACACACACACACACACACACACACACACACACACACACACACACACACACACACACACACACACACACACACACACACACACACACACACACACACACACACACACACACACACACACACACACACACACACACACACACACACACACACACACACACACACACACACACACACACACACACACACACACACACCAGCCAAAGCCAACCAAAGCCAACCAAAACCAGGCGATCTTCTGGTCCAATGCAGAAGTTGACAAATCAGGCAAAACACACACTGTCACTCCTGAAGTTCACGCAATCCAGCTTCGAATTGGGCTGCCTCGACATGTGACGCAAAATCTTGCTGTCACAACGGTTCAGTTCAGCCTTACCTCCTTGTGTTATGCTTGTCGTTCTGTCCGTGCGAACCTCACAGTTTGACGATCTGCCCCTGAAAGCCTGTGAGACTAGCTTGCCGCAGGCTTCGTTCTGAGCGTCGGGGCCCATGGTATGTCGATGCATCTGCATATGCGGATTCACCAGCAAGCAACTGGCATGTTGTAGCAGGTTCGAGCCCTTTTTTGGGTCATCGTGACGTTGAATTTGGTGATTTATGCCAGGTCCTTAAGGGTGCTTGAACAGATTGAGCCAGCGACACCCTCGCCTCTGCATTCAGTAAGGTGCTGTCTTTGGGACTGCGCACGACTATCCAAGCAGTTTCCTCGAATGCCATGGACAACTGCCCTTCCGGTGATTCAGTTGACTTGGGAGAACCAGTCGTCGGTGTAGATGGATCGGCATGCGCCTCGCCATTGTATGATGCATATAACATAATATTATAACCTAGCGGTTCAATAGCTTGTTGCTCATAGCTCAGCAATTGTGCCACGTGAAGCGACGGGTTTGGAGCTGATCCTGTCGGTGGGTTGTGATTTGCGTGCTGAGGCAAGCTCCACCATATGTATGGTGAAGAGTACTGTGCATCAGTCATCGGCTGCATGTTCTCGATCTTTCGATGCATCGTGGGCGAATGTACCACAAAAGGCTGCAGTGCGACTGCATGTTTCCCGTGTGCATGGTTTCACACAGCCCGGCATTCCGATTCACTTCCTCGCCCAGAGGTGGACGATCGCTGACAATGATTTTCAGCGATGGGTTCGGGGTCCAGTTTGACATTTTCTATGCGGGGAGCATGGTTATTGCCGCTCGAAGAAGGAATCAGCTTAGCTCCTTACCGGACTGTTTGTGCCGCGCACTACAGATGCGGAAGGCTTCTAGAAGACACATGCATGCGCTTGACAAAAAGTGTGAGGTCCTAATGGGCCTCTTCAACATCATCACCGCGATTTTTGTTGAAGCGACTTTGAGCGGATCTCAGAAATGGTCGTGGCCTGTGGCAGGACCATGATGACTATTGCAGTAATTCTGCACGGTGCGGCGGCCGCCACACTGCGACTAAGGAATGGCCTGAAAGAAAACGAATCGCACCGCCGGTATGCAAAGGCTTATGAGTCAAGCTACATGACGGAGCAACTGGCCAAACTTGTCATGGTCCTCTCCTCCCAAGTGCAAAAGATGCGGAACAGGACGGTTCGGTTTGCAGCCGTGCGATTCGATGTTGGACATGTTTTTCCTTTCGTGGAGGAACAGCTCATTGCCTGGCTTGCTCGGGGATGGAATGTTTCCAGGTTCGAGAATGACTTTCAGCAGGAGGCTGTGGGCCAGGGCGGCCAGTTACAGTCATGGCGTCGGATCTGCTGATGTTGGTTCGTGCCAGGGGTGAGACGGCTGGCGTGGACTCCGAAAGTCCAAATGCAAACCTTCATGCAGAGGAGACTTATTTAAGCAGCAGGCCAAGCATGCTTGTGGAGTTGGCAGTCTCAGAAGCGTGCAAGAACGCCCAGGCTATGCCGTACTTTAACTTCTAAGATGTCTCAGGTGAGGAAGAGTTCAACCAGCTCATCAGAATGCCGGAGGAGACCTGACTCACATGGGCTGTCAGTGCAAGATATAGAGCGACTCAGGATCCGAGACGGGACTGTGAGCACTGGGGGTTGCTGACAGTGCGGAGGTACGGCTGCTGTTGAACGAGCTTGATGTGACCCTTGGCCGCGTGTATTGTGAGCCGTGAGCCGATTTGCGAGAAGATGGAGGCGTTTGTAGAGATCCGAAGCCCGAGGAGCGTGGAGCCTCGTCCGGGAGTCTTTGAGGCTTTCAACACTGCTGCCTAGCTGAATTGAGGTGCTGTATATGGCTGAGACCCTGATGTCAGCACCCACGCCCTGAGGAGGAAGATGGCACTGTCTCGATTTCGGAACTTGTGCCCGGACCTTGACCGGGACAGGATGGGAAGACGTCTCAGGGTTGTTGTTCGAGCTGCGAAGGTCTGGCCTGATGCGGCTACGAGGCGATCTGCACAAGATTGATTTGGTAATTGCGCAGATGGGCCTCGAGAACATGCAGCGGCTTGGACTGGCTCGGCACAAGACACTCATCAGTCTGTTTGAGTGGTGATCGTGCCTTGAAACCGGGGGAGCCTGCACAAGGAAGCAGATCATGGCGGCTTGGTCCAAAATGTCCAAAAGCATGTCGGCTTATCAGGCTTCACTACTTGTTGTCACTGCACCAAAGCGGCCAGCTCTTCAATGCTTGCTAAGGAAGTGAAGACTACAAACTTTCAGATTGCAAAAAAGATAGGTGCCAAAGGCACAAGGAGTACAACTCTCAGCAGGCTTCACTCCGAAGCCTTGTCGTAGCAACCGCGGAACACACAGTTGTGGATGCTCAAAGCATCATCACAGTTTCACTTCGCAAGTTCCGTGGGTCAAGCCAATGGGAAGGCAGAGCTTGATGGCACAAGATCTGTTGTGAGCGCTCCTGCAGCTTAAGAGCTAGTTCAGTGCACGTCTTTGCACGCGTCCTGGTCTTGAACTCTTTGCAGTTGAGCGCCAAGAGCTGCCATGCTTGGCCACGGCAGCACTTGCTTGGACCACCTCGACAATAATGGTCCATGAGCAGCGGTGTGCCGTTGTGAGGCATTCTTGGCCCTCTCTGACCCAATGATGTCAGCAGGGTGCCTTAACCCGTGGGCCGTGGGCGGTTTCACGAGGTGCTTTGTCAAGCCCCGCTGCAGTGACGCTCGTCTCCCCACGATTCAATGAGGCCTACCTCAGGCGATAACATATTGCAGTCAGATCATAAGCACAGGTGGTTTTCGACAGCGATCGTGGCAGATCCAGGTAGTGTAGCTGCTCAATGCAAGCTCACTCGACATCGTGGCAAGCGACTTGAAATCAGAGTTCGTGGTCCCGGGCACAGAGCAGTTTCGGCGCGTCTTGTGCCGGAGCCTGCTCTTGTGAGGGGGCGTGGGACGTTTGGTATGTGCTTTGTGTGCGTGTGTGCGTTTCGGTGTATGCATGCATGTACATGTGTTGCGGATCGTGTGAAAGCGAATGCGCACGCAGCCGCAGCAACACTCCAGGACTCCAGGCCCGGACCGGCGACCGGCCCGGTGAGTCACCACGACAAAGACAAAGAGAGACAGAGCAAGACCCCCAGCAAGCACGAAAGAGCGAGAGCAGTTCCAAAAGCCGAGTTTTCCCAAGCCTTTTTCAGGACACCGGATAGCAACGACATCGCAGGTCCAAGCCAGCACCAAATAGTTTGACTCATACTGCAGCGATGCTACACGGAGGGTCGGCACGCTTTGACCGCTTGCTGGCGCAGCTTTCCGAAGAGCATGCACCTTGTCTTGGCATTCAGCTTTTTCTAGCTGTGCATGAGCCTCCGTGCTAGTAGCCTCAGCCCAAGGATCTGGAGCTGAAAATCTTACAGGAAACCAACAGGCAGCTTCAAGAGGAAATCCGCTCGCTCAAGTCTCTGCCACAGGAGACAGATGTTTTGCGGAGTTGCCTCAAGTTTCGGCCTATGTTCTGTATCTTTCCATGCGGCATCACCCCCCCTTGTGGCTTGAAACGGAGTGGGGGGGGGAGGCTCTGAAATATTTCAGGGCAGCTTCGGTCGAGGTGGGGGTTCAGACCTGGGGGGTGGGGGTCGGGCTTGAAGTTTCAGGGCTGTCCTGGGATAGCGAGTCATCTTCCATTTCAAGAGAGTTGCCGTTCGCATCCGCAGGACACCGGCTTAGTGCGCTCTCAAGGGCCTTCAGACTAGCTTTGCAACACCATATGGCCATTCGATGCTAGTAATTACTATAATCAAAGGCTGTGAGCAACGTGCCTATCTATGTGTTGGCCTCCTTGGTAAGGGATGGTAAGGGCGCCAGTGTATTTCTCATGCGGGGGCTCCGGTAACCTCGTTTTTAAGGCTGCTACTATAGTTTTATGAGAAATCTACTAAATTCCTCCTATGCGAGGCTAGGTAGCCTCCTCAATTGGGCTGCTACTATATTTCTATTAAAAATCCATGAAATGGCAGCTTCTTTTATTGGGCTGCTACTAGATTTCTATTAGAAATCTACTAAATTGCGGTGTGGTAACCACTAGTCTTTCCCGCCCGCAAGCACGGCCGTGGCCACAACCCTTTCTCCCAGCAGTTTCCTGCTTGCCGCCCAACCCTTTCCCCAGGTACTTCAAGCACCTTTTGAAATTTTCACTGCGTGGACAGATCTGCGGATCCAAGCCTACCTACCTTTTCCTCCGAGCACCCCTGTTGAAATTTCACGGAACCTTCACCCCCCCTAGGCTCTATTCTATTTCATGCGGGTGGCTGAAACGGATTCAGCCTTATAAGGGGTGGGGGGGGCTCAGACCCCCCCCCCCCCCGACAAGGGGGTACTGATCATGCGGCATCACAGTCAGTGGCAGTGAGCTTCTGGGCCATGCGGGCACATCTTCTCTTCCGCCTCACTTGTGAATGCCTTCCTTTGTCTTGCTTTCTCGCGTGGAATGCTTCGCGGTGAGATCTACAGACCAGCTTCCTGCATTTGTCACCTGTCTCTGCTCTAGCAGCAAGCTCTAACCTTTCCTTCAGGTAGTTCTCGCCTCGGCATTCCAACTTCTGACCCGGATCCCAACCCAGACGGGGGAAAAGAGGATTGGCTGGGTGCGATTGCATCGAAGCATCCGAACTTTCGTTGTAAAAAGGGGCCAGTCCGTCAAAGGAGACCAAGACACGCAAGCTCGGAATACTGTTCCAGGAGAGCTTGGATTTCCCAAGCCCCAAAGATGCAACAAAAACAAGAGACAGGGTGGAGGGATACAGAGGCAGGAATATTGCAGCTGCAGTTGGGGAGGGCCGACGCACGGCCGGGTTCCTTTCTGGAGAAATCGAACTGAATGACATTGAATGGCATGAGCAGCCGTGCAGGAGACTCCCAGGCCAGCTCTCCGCGAGGCCGCGGTAAAACTAGAAGCATCAGGAATCCACTCCCTCTTTGCTCGTTGCTGCTGTAAGAATGAGGCCATGCATGAGGGGGTGAGGTTTGCAGTGAGAAACCGGCAGCAGGACCAATGCCAGGATTTGGATATTGTCAAGTATTGTGCAGCAGAATTAAGTGCTTTGTAGAGGCAAGAGGCTGTATAGTCTGTCGGGAGCAAGACAAAGATGGCAAGACCTCTGGCAGTTGTCAAGTCAGGTTTCCAGCACACAACACGTGCCAGGTGGGCTTGGCTGTCGGTCCACCAGACAGGCCGAACCTTGAACTGGAGATCGAGAAGCTCCGGGATGAGACGGCGGCAGCAGTCATTTGGCTGACGTTATGATTACGTGAAACTCGTTCTTTGCGAGGGGACAAGGCGTAGGATGACCATGGTAGGGGGAGCTTGGCATGCTGCAGTTGCTTTGTGGTCGCTCGGGTGGGCAATCCGGTCGCTGCAACTCGCGAGGCGGATTCCTTCGCCTTCAGCTCCCCGAGCCCGAGCCAGTCTCTCCGCATAGGTGCGGCGGAAACCACAGCCGCAGCTAGGCTAGGCATGATAAGATTCTATGTATGTCTGTGTGAGAGTATAGAGTTTTTTGGCTTTCTGAGTGCATCTGAGGTAGAGCTCACAGTGTATTCAGTGCAGGGCTTACCTGACACTCTCATCCAAAAAGGACGGGCATTCCGATCATGCAGCCGCCCATGCATTGCTCTGCGTGCCTTCTGCATCGCAGGAGGTGCAGGCCCGTCGCCGATTTCCAAGTGCAGAGTTTCCACGAACATCGGTTTGCAGATCAAAGCCACGGAGTGGACGGCTTTGAACAAGGATCAGACTTCTGTGCGGGTCAGGATGCTGATTGGTATGCTTGAGTCACAACATCATATTATCATCTTGTTCGCTGCTCCCGCATGGCTTCCACAGGAGCCTGGTAGACCTGGTGAGTGCCACGATGACTCGAGCCTCTGGGGAGCAGCACCTTCGCTGCAGTCAGGGCTGCTTGGGGAAAGGGCGCTCTGCTCTTTTACAACCTTGTTGGACCTGGAACAAAGATGCAGGTATGGGGCCCACACGGCGCAAGCATGCGCCCGGTCTGCAGCATTGCTCAAAGCGATGGCATCGACTTCGGTGTGAAGTGAAACCACGTCACATTCGTCAGCATGTGCCTTGTAGCGTGGCGGCTCCAGGTCTTGCTTTGCGCAAGTAGACGACCTCCCCGACAAGCTCGAATTGAATTTAGAGATCAACGGCTACGGACATTCTGTTGCCATTGCGCTTGTGGAAGTCAACGCAGACAAGCAGCATCTTGGAGGCATTCATGCGAGTGCCTACACAGCCACGCAGTGCAATCTGGGCACTGTCGAGCCGAAGGACTGTTGCTCCAAACCTCCAAATCAGGCTCTGGAAGCTCGATAATGGTGGCCACGTCGAGGCCAAGGTGCTGGTGACACGCCCACGACGTCGCTCGATGAGTGGCTTCTCGCAGGCAGGGGCGCCCTCCGACATTTGATCCGTCGGTCGTGAGTGCTGCCAGGCCTCAGGAGAGCCTGCTGCAAATACCAGCCGTGGAAGCAAGACGCGGCGATCCTCCTTGCAGAGCTGCGTGGCTGTTGCTACATGGCACAAATGTTTCGACCTCCGTTTTCCAGCGAATGTAAAGTTCAAAGCGCCCGATGGCGCGACTGTTAGACAGATGGAAAAAAGTCGTTAAAGGCGCGAAGAACAGAACAGAACAGATCAAAACACAACAGAGTCGGGACTCGGGTCTGCATCCTGAATCTGTAACTGGAGCCCTGCAAGAGAAGCAGAAGAGAGAGAGAGAGAGAGAGAGAGAGAGAGAGAGAGAGAGAGAGAGAGAGAGAGAGAGAGAGAGAGGGAGAGAGAGAGAGGAAAGGGAGAGCAAGCAAGAAGAAGAAGGAGGAATGCCAGGGAGTCAGGTACCTCGACTTGTTTTGCTCAGTCGGGGTCGTGGACCGCTTGTAAAGCCCAAGGTAGGGACTCAGGTGAGTATAATCGCCCCCTCGGCAGGGAAAATTGTCGGATTCGACCCGGATCAGAGCTGCAGACCCCTGCATTCGCATGCCCTAAGTTTAAATCATTGAAATTTGCCAGAAATTTTTCAGTTTTCATCCATGGTCGTGTAGCAGATTCTGACCAGTTCTTATTGCAAAATCGCTACACGCGAGATGGTTTTGATGTTAACCAGTGCACTTCAGGACCTGCCACCCATGCTTACGATTCTCAGATGCAGTAACGTCAGCACGTCCGTCAACTGGACGGGAGTTGGGCCTGGAGGTTGCACTCTTAAGTTTTTGATGTAGAGAGGGTTGCACAGCTGATCCTTGCATTGGAGGCCTGATCGAATATGGGAGACAACAGCC